TACCATCTGTATGCTAATGATCTGCAGTTATATGTGCAAGTGGAACCCTCAAACATCTCTAATGCTATCTCATTATTGAATGATGACTTGAAATATATCTCCGAATAGTCCACTGTGTATGGCATAAACGTTAACCCATCTTAGTGCCAAACAATAATTTTAGGTAGCCCACGATTATTATCGAAACTAGATATTCCCACCCTAACATCAATTATGTTTAAAAATAATGTCATACCATTCTCTCCTCATGTAAAGAAACTTGGTCTGTACGTTGACGGTTGCTTAACATGGAATAAACATATACAGGAAGTGAGTCGCAAAACTACTGGAACTTTGCGATCTCTATATCGATTAAAAATTTTTCTTCCCACTAATACCAAGATTTTACTTGTCCAGTCACTTATCTTACCGATTATTGATTATGTCCATGTTTGTTGCTCAGACATGTCTCAACATCATCTTAATACATTGGATCGTCTACTTAACAACTGTATCAGATACATTTATGGTCTCCGTAAATACGACCATGTATCTTCTTTTCGTGTTCAGATAAATTGGCTGCCTATCCGTCAGCGAAGATATGTCAGAATGCTCTGCACCATTTTCACAATTCTGAACAATCCATGTGCTCCCGAGTATCTGAAATCCAAATTTCAATACCTGGGAGATTCTCATAATCGCTCTCTCCGTTCATCGGCTAATCTTAAGTCGCTCACTCCTTTACACCGTACCGGTTATTTGTCTCAAGCTTTCGCCCTCATGGCCATCAGACTCTGGAACGACATCCCTCTTGACATTAAAAAAGCTTCCAACAAGTTTCTTTTTAAAAATCAAGTCCGTAAGCATGTGAAAAATTGTTGCAAGTTTGAACTAACATAGCTTTTATTTTCATACACATATGTATATTTCAAATTTGTTCTGACATAGATAATATTTATATGTATTGTGTGTATATGTAGTGTATGCGTGTATATGTGTATGTATGTATTTATATATGTATATATTGTGTGTATTTAAGTATATATGTCTTTGTATGTGTATGTATATGTATATTTATATGTATATATGTATATACCATTTTTTTTTCTTTTAGCGCTTTCTATTTTGATTACTGCTGCACCGCCTCTTGTTTGTATATCTCTGTTTAGCCTAATGGTTGACTGGGAGAGAATGCCCTATGGCATTAAGTCCGCCATATGTACAACTTTGTGCATGAAAGCTTAAATAAATAAATAAATAAAAAAAAGGAATGGGCATCCGGAACTCTCACTCACCAGACGAAACATGGCAGCCACTAAGAAACTAACCACTTCACGCTGATTTTCTGTGAGAGAGTAGTATCGCACCGGTCGACCCTGCTCATTTATGTGTTACAGTGAACTGTAGACGTGGATCTACTACCAATTTTTTTATTAATGTTTAGATATAATTTTTTTTGAAGTTTTTCTATGTTTTTAGTTGTGGCATTTTTCTAAGATCTTATTAACTGGTTAGCTGTTTAATTTTTAAATATTTAATTTTTTACGTTTTGTGCTACATATTTTGTTGACGAAAATGGTAAAAGGTACATGTACGTAATTGTGTTTAAAATTATCTTGACATTAAAAATAAAAAAAAATTATGATTGATATCTTTCATTTTCTGTATAATCTTATCCAGTAAAGTGAAAAGTTTGAGAACCTCTAGTTCAATCTTTCCCCGGCGGGTCAAGATTGAAATATAAAAAACAAATAAGTTGTGTTATCTGTGTTATTTGAAGGTATTTTGATATTATAGACAGTTCTGAAGTGTCAGGACAATTAAAATTGTACCCTACTGACAGTCAATATCGTCTGACATTAAATTGACCGATTTTAGAAACTACTTCGATCTTTCCCCACCACCCTTTCATCTTTCCCCCTGTTGTTTTCTTTCGATAAAAACATTGTAATTATTTTTTTTGCTTTCGAATAAATATAACAGGGATTTATCGATATGACATAAAAATATGTTCTTTGTACTCTATTCACTATAGATATAATTTTAGGTAAAGAAGTTGCTATGGATTTTGAGAAACATTTTACTGATGTTCCTTTTTTGACAACTAAATCATTAAATTCTTCTCCTACTGTCGCCGAATCATTGCTTAAACAAAATGTAAAGGCTTGTTCAAATACTTTTAAATTCCATAGAGTACTGCCAAAAGATATGTTTAATATTTTAAAACTATTTATGTTAAGAAAACGGCAGACATATGGAGGATTTCTGTTAAAGTTATTTTATCTATAACAGATATAATAGCACTTTATCTAGCCACTATATTTAATACAAGCGTCGAATCTGCTGTGTTTCCTGATTTAATGAAGCATAGTAATGTCATACCTTTATTTAAATCTGGTAGTACAATAGACCCCGCCAATTTTAGACCAATTTCTGTACTACCAACATTTAGTAACATTTTTGAAAAAATAATTTTAGATCAGGTGTTAAGTTTCTTTAATATTAATAAATTGCTACATAAAAATCAATTCGGTTTTACAAGGTGTCGCTCTACAACTGACGCTGGAGTTGAGCTTATTAAACATATTTTTGGTGCATTGGAGAATTCAAAGGATGCTTTAGGTATATTTTGTGACCTTTCCATGGCCCTTAATTGCGTTCACCATGAAACATTAATCAGGAAGATACAGTACTATGGTGTCAAGAACACAGCAAATGCAGAAAGATATTATCAATGTTAAAAGTTCTTCCGGGTCACCTGTACTAATGGGTGTCCCTCAGGGCTCCATTCTCGGCCCATTCCTATTTCTAGAGTATATTAATGACTTACCTTCTCTTGTAGGGGATAATCATGATATAGTATTATTTACTGATGATACTTCCTTGATTTTTAAACTTAAACGTCAATCATTTAAATGTGACGAAGTGAATAATGCTATATCAAAATTAGTGCATTGGTTTAACGTTAATAATCTACATTTAAACGGAAATGAAACTAAATGTATTAAATTTACAACAACGAATGTTAAAAATCTGAGTACCAATTTGTTTTTAAATGGGGAAGAACTGATCCCTGTTGAATCTACTGTTTTCCTTGGCATCACTCTCGACGCAAAGCTTTAGTAGGGCCCCCATATGTCCAAACTAGCAAGCAGACAAGAAGTTCTGCAGCCTATGCTGTAAAAAAGATTAGAGGTCTCACTAGTGTTGAGACAGCTAGATTAGTTTATTTCAGTTATTTCCATAACATAATGTCTTATAGGATATTGCTGTGGGGAAATGCGGCTGATTCAGAAACTATTTTTGTTTTACAGAAGAGGGTCATAAGAGCTATTTACAGCCTAAAACTACAGAATAAACAATAGTATAAGAGCTAAAACCGAGAGAGTCTCTTACAGAAAAATTAAAAAAAATAAATATATTAACTTTGGCCTCTCACGAAAATTCAATGTACGTTCGCAAAAACAAAGTTAGTTTTAGTAAAAAAAAAGTGAAATACACTCCTAAACACTAGGAACAAACACTAGCTAGTGATACCAGTTTCTCGACTCTTTAGACTCAGTAATTCTTTCTTGGGGCAATGTATACGCTATTACAACAAAGTCCCAGAACATTTACAAGCTCTCTCTATTACCAAGTTTAAAGATTTTATTAAACTAATACTGTATAAAAAGGATTATTATAATATAAATGAATACATGGCTATAATAACCCCTGGTAATGAGGTGGTTGCTTCCAAGCCGTTTCTAAAATAAATTTTGTAAATAGTTTGTACAACCATTCATGTAAAATTAACTTTAAAAAAAGTTTCACTGGGTTTCTCGCTGGTTCTTTCTAGGGCAGGGGTTATTTTTCGAACCAGTGGTAAAGTAAAAAATGACTTTCTATAAGAATTACACATTTGATCTATATTGAATAAAAAATTATCAATTCTATTCTATTCTATATTCTAAAAAAAGTAGTTTAATTACGCACAAGTTTTCACTAAAAACCTTGTAACTATTACTATACTTCAAATTTTCCGATAATTTTATGTCAACCTTCAATTAATCCAAAAGTGCACGACTGAAGTGTTGGTTGAATCGAGATGAGCATTATGGCTCATTGTATAATAGTGAAAGAATAAAAAAAAGTAAATTGTAGTTCTATTCGTCAAAGAGTTCCAGTAGCAGTCACCGAAGTACACCTTTAAGTCACTCCATCAAGTCCGGAGGTAAGGTCTCATCATAACAGACAAAATGAGGCCAAACTTGGCACATCTAGTTCTACTCTTCGAGGAGTTCCAGTAGCATTCACCGAAGTACACCTTCAGCTCATTCTGTCAAGTCCGGAGGTAAGTTCTCATCATAACTAACAAAATGAGGCTAAACTCGGCATACCTAGTTCTACTCTTCGGGGAGTTCCGGCAGCATTCACCGAAGTACACCTTCAGGTCATTCTAACAAGTCGGGAGGTAAGGTCTCATCATAACTAAGAAAACGATTATAATAAAAATATTATAATACAAAATCTGTGATTTTATAATCACCTTGGTGAAGTATGTATCAAACTTGGTTTTTGGAATATTTTGTATTTCTACAACGATCGATATTTTTGCTGCCTATTAACGCTGCTGTAAGCAAACGATACAGCAACCGTTTGCTTACAGAAATTTAGAGATTTCGCAGCCGAAAAAATTTAATTATAACTAAACAAAACAAAATCAAACTGCCATTTACATTCCATGGCTCTTTCCACATGATAAATGAAGAGATAAACAATTGATATTTTCAAAAGTTATCGAGTTTACCACTCCATGCGGATTTCTACAAAAATAGCAGTTAATCGATTTAAAATAGAATTAATAATTTCAACAATCATTTATCTTTCTGACAATGTGCTTTGTATATACTTTATATGTTCAATATGATTGTTAGATACGATTTTATGTGACGAAACGTAGGAATCTTGATTTTTAGACGCTAGTAGAACATACCTACGCACTTTGAGCTTAAGGCTTGCAATATTTCTTTTTTTTGTAGGTGCAGCAGTTAATGGATATCACAACAAAATTCAGGGAACAACAAAAGCAAATTATGGTTTCGAGAGATGTTAATGATTTTGGATCCTATACTACCATTAATATGAATATTATCAAAGTAAGTTATGTACCTATTTTATATTGTAGGTTCATACCGACCATGCATACGTAGATATGTATATTTTAAATAATGAATATTCATTTAAACCGAGAGAATGATGTCGTTGCGTGATTCTATTGTCTTGGTCTCGGTATGAATTCAGGGTCAAGCCAAGCTAGGTACATTCAGATAACAATTATTATGGGAAATAAAAAAGCTATTTCAAAAATAGTGATAATTAGTTAAAATATTAGAGGAGCAGAAACGTGTACAACATAAAATTCATCATACATTATTTATAACATGATTCAATTTGTTTATAGAATAAGGGTGACAAACGACGACACAGTCCACCTGATGGTAAGTGGTTGCTGTGGCCCATAGACATCTACATCTATCTTCGTTTGCGAATTAAAATGCAGATGCGTTTTCAGCCGTGTGGACTAAGATAGAATGCCTCTTTTCCAGTAAAATGGGTCTCCGGTTCTGTACACTCACCATGCGAAACACAACTAACAGCATTAAGCTGCTATTTTACATTGGTATTCTGTGAAAGCGTGTTCCTTCTCCGGTCGAGTCGATCCATTCGTGCTACAACTATACTATTAATATAGTTGCAGCATGGCTCTGCCACGTAAAACAGCTTCGTTTATAACAGCTTCTTTACTCTAAAAATAATTGACAGCAGATAGTGAAAAGACATAGCTCAACGTATCGGTAAACTGAAGGGATAATAGGCCGGCTATATAGCACGAAAGACAATCGACACAAACAACTAATAGGGAGGAAAGGTTCTCGAGTGGTCAGCTTCGCACGAGTAAGTTAATTGTATGGCGGCCCCTTCTAGATAGAGTGACGAACTGGTAAGAGATGCAGGAAGTAGATGGATGCAGGTGGCTCAGGACTGTGCTTTGTGGCATTCCTCGGAGGAGGCGTATGTTCAGCAGTGGACTTGTGAAGGTTTGTAATGATGACGAATGATGAGATCGTGAAAAACTTGCGATCAAAATAGACGTTGTGTAGTCAGTTCATTTTGAAACAGCCAAATAGTTCACTTACGTTCCGTTGATTTCTTTTTAGCTCAAATAATTAGTCAAAAGCGTTTTATTTCATTGTGTTAAATGATTACGTGCATTAGTCACCATGGCCGGTACGGTATTGCAATGCAAAAGGGAATTATTACGGAGAGGCGCTGCAGTGGTTGTGCTAATACTAGGCGCTAAAACACGCTATGACAAAAAGCGTCAAGCTATCACAAGAAACGGTAAGTAGGTTACGTAGCCAATTAGCACGATGCTGCAATAAGACACCACGCGGCAATTCCCATTATTACCCTGTGTCAAGGATTCTTTTTTGAGAGACGCTGCAACTCAATCCGTTTTATTAATTTTAATTTTATAAATAAATTGTCTGCATATTAAGGCGATATTCTTTATGAAAAATATTCGGGGCATTTTTGTGAATATTACCAAAGAAATTGTTTCACAAAAAAGGGGTTGTGAAAGGCTGATTGTGATTCGGCTGCATCAATATAACTTTTGACCAAGCTAAATCCGAAATCCAAACTTCAGTCGGTCGTTAATTTTACCTGTAAAACTTAAATTTTTCAAAATGTATTAAAGCGATAAACTGTACTCGTACCTGTAGTAGATCAGGGAAGAAAAGTCTCCTACATGACATCATCTAAGTCCATGTTTGACGTACCCTACACAGTCAAATTTCTCCAATTCTCTGATTTTTAAACGAAGTTTATAATTATACACTCGTAATATAAAATCTATATTTCGTTATAAAATAAAAGAAAGTCGTCAAAATTTTTATATTTTTTTACCACCCGTTTTTAAATAATTACAGGGAGGCGTCGTTCCGAATATCATACCCAGTCGAGTCACCGTGGTTATTGATATGAGACTAGCGGTTACGGCTGAGGTTCATGAAGTGGAAGCTCTGGTATGCAAAATATTATCAAACTAACTTTCAACCGCTACACTCTGTTAACTAAGCAACTAGGTTCTAGTGATGGACCGACTATGGTGCAAAATCTACGAGTCGAAATCAAATCCCACAGATTGGTAGCATCATTATCATTGCGTGGGTGTCAGCTTTGCGCCCATCTGCTTAGTAGGGTGAGTATGGCAAGTATGCTATATGGGGTATGATAGAAAATTAACATGAAGTGACATGTCGGTCGAATCCATTACCAACAAATGGCGTAATAATTATTTTAATAATGCCAATTATTGCATCATGAAATATAGGAAGACTAAGGGATTGAATTAGCAGTTTGTCTTAAAATAGCACAAACTTTACGGCTAATTTCCTCAATTTGACTGGGCCAAGTAAGAGAATAGTCGACCGTCGAGTCGAATAGTTTTATACTAAATCCTAGGTACTTAATCTGAGTGCTATATGGGATTACCTCGCATAATACATCAATGACTAATTACATTTATTTTAATTATATATAATTTCATTTTAATTAATTTTATTGTATAATACTTTGTAAAATTAGCTGTAAAATACATAAATAATGCTTTTAGTTTAGATACAGTAATGCTTTTACTTTACGCAACTGTGGTTAATTTACAATTTTGACCACCATTAAGTTTTTAAGAAGTTTTAATTTTCACTCTTAACTGTATCTTTATTATAGAATTATACAGTTCGCCTGTTTGGGAAGTGGATGCTGTAGCCCATAGTTGCCTACATCTATCCTCGATTAAAAATCAAAATATAGATGTGTTCTCGCCCCCTGATGACCAAGATTAAGACAGCATTTCCTAACTGTCTTAGATTGGTATTCTGTACGAATGTGGTCCTTACCCAGTCCAGACGAACCATTTGTAGGTATTACAGCCATAGTATGCTGCAGAGTGACTTTACCATGCGAAGCCTTTTAATATATGTATATACAATCAATATATAATTTTATTATTTATTAGTTTTGTCTGAGTACAAGAGTGGATTGACAGAGCTGGTGTTTAGAAACTTTTCACAGAAATCATCTAAGCGATAGTGAAAAGCGAAAGAAAATCCATCAAATAGTTTTATAGCCAGACAAATATGTTTTATCTATTAACAGGTAGGTAAGTATAAAATGCAAATATGTAGGTATACTCAATGAATGATATTTGTAACTTTTTAGATACAATCATGGATTGCGCAAGTGGGAAATGAGACCGAATTATCATTCATTCGTAAAATAGATGTATCAGAAGCGACAATACTAGATGACACAAATCCTTACTGGGTGGCTGTAGTTGACGCTGTAAAAGAGATGTAAGTTATAATATATGTTAGAAATGTCAAAATCACAAAATCCGACTATCAAATAGAAAAACGTAACCGTGACTGATGTATCAACTTTTATTATTCTAGTAATTTTCTTCATAACATTACTCTTACTGTCACGGTACAAAGCCAAAGTAAAACATATTCTATTCAGGGTACAGTGAATAAGTATAAAAACTACTACCGGATCTAAAAGATGAGACCCCTACTATATAGAGAATAGCGGGTAAGAGTTTTTGAAGAAAAAGTGATAATTACACATAGATATAGTATAATGAAATGAAATGAAGATTTATCTGCTTTGAAAAAGGGGTACATTTAGGTGGTTATTATAAAGAGTAGTTCAGCTTTTTCAGCCATCTATAATAGCATTCAAATACATTTTTATAATTAAATTTATTATATTACAAAATGAAATTCAATCAAAATATTTATCGTCATGTCATTTATACAAATTAGCAATACCAGTACATACAAATTTAAATATAATTAAGATTAAAATTTAATAAAAAATATATAATTACTGTTGTGTCACATCATGTCAAATTTAGGTAGTCATTCACATTATCAAAACAATGTTCATTTAGCCACCTGTAAAAAGCGCCTTTAAATCTATTAAGGGGTAAGTCTTTTATATTTTGGGGTATTTTATTAAATATGAGAATACACATCCAGTAGCAGTTTTTTTATAAGTCGAACACTCTTGGGTATAATTTCAGCAGCAAGTCTATTGCCATTTCTGGTATTTCGTGTATAAATTTCTTTCGCTTGTCTGAAATAATACATGTTTTGTTTTACAAACTTAGCAATTTCAAAAATGTACAGGCAGTTTATACAGGCAGGCTTATAGCAGTTTATACTAAATCTATGTATTTACATGTTTTTTATAGAACTGAAGTGACAAACGTTCTTACAGTGCACCTGATGGTAAGTGGCTACTGCAGTCCATGGACACCTGCGGCCAACTTCAAACAAAGATGGCTACAGAAGCGTTGACACCTCTGATAAGTAAACCGAAGAGCCTGTAATTATATTTTTTTTAATAGAATTAGGGTGACAAACGAGCACACAGTCCACCTGATGGTAAGTGGTTGCTGTGGCCCATAGATACATCTACATCTATCCTCGATTACAAATCAAAATGCAGATGCGTTGTTACCCGTGAGGACTAAGATGGAATGCCTCGTTTCCAGTAAAAAGCGTCTCCGGTTCTCTACACTCACCATACGAAACACAGCAGTGTTAAGCTGCTATTTTACGCTGGTATTCTGTGAGAGCGTGGTCCTTCCCCGGTCGAGCCGACCCATTCGTGCTACAACTATACCAGTAATATAGCTACAGCATGGCTCTACCACGTATTATATATTGACTATCTATACCTTTCAAAGCGAAACAGCAGTGCAGGCACTAATATTGAGCGACTAAATTAGGTAAGAGTGTACCCAAACGGACTGCCACTTATAGCAAATTAATGTATTGTATAATGTGCCATAGCATATTGGTGAATGGAAGAAAGCAAGTCCAGCTGTGGAACGCATACAGACTGCGACTTTTACATACACGATTATAGGGTATTTTTCAAAGAGTAGCCAAATTTTAAACTTAAGTTCAAATATATAAATAACGATACCGTTAAGGCAGTTTGTGAAAATACGAGGCTTCTACTTTTATTTGAAATTATCCCATTTTGAATGTGATTTGTGGGCAACAACGGTTTCGCCTACCGATCGGCTCTTACGAATGTGTGCGTGCGCAGTTAAAGCAGTTAAAATAATGCATTACCACGCATTTTGAATTTAAAAGATAATAAGCATAGAATGTTTGAGATTTTTTAAATTAATTCGTGTTGTGAATGTTACTTATTCTGAACCTTCTCTGCAAATATGGCCGGTTATTGCAAAATAACCCTGTATTTCAATTTGAATTTTGTTTTTGTTTCATAGTCGTCTAAATAGTTTGGTCGGGTACATCATCATACAACGTAAGCTAAATATTTATTGGTAAAATATTTTTTCAGGGACATGAAGATCATGCCAATCGTGTGTCCAGCTACATCTGACATGGTTATCCTTAGGAATCGAGGATATCCTGCTATCGGATTTGCTTACAGACCCTACACTGTGCCTCTTCTTCATGCCGCTGATGAATATTTAAATGTAGCTACTTTTCTTAAAGGAATTGAAGTGTATGCTATAATTCTGAAAAAAGTTGGTAATATATTGTAATTTATACCAACTATAAGAACGATAACGAATGATACGAAATATAATAAATAAAGAATATAAAAGAATTTGAATATATAATATTTTGAAATTTTAAACATTATTTACTGCTTTCCTAATTATAATAAAATCCCTATCTTAATACAATCTGTATAGTGTTAAGAAGGCTATTATTTTGGTAAGACTGATGATGATAATGATGATATGATAAAACAGGATACCTGTGAAGTTGGTTTCGCCGTTTCTTCCCCGGACAGAGGAACCTCATTGTAAATCTTACATCTAAAAATAAAGATATTTAATTTCATTGCACGTTTGACTGCCTCATTGGTCAACATTTACGACCACTTGTAAGCGCAACTTTTAATCATATGGTCCCAGGTTCTTATCCCCGGGTAGAGCCTAAATCAGTTATCGAGTTCTTCTGTCAAGAAATTTTCAGTAGCAGTCCGGAAAGTATTCTTTTTATTTTTTATTGCATTTCTTAGAGCGGACTTAATATCTTGAGGCATTCTCTACCAGTAAACCCGTGGAGTGGTACTACATGATATTTACATTTTACTAATAAATAATAAAGTATACATATATAGCCTATATATATTCACACACACACGCTCGCTCACACGCACACTCACACGCACACTCACACACACACGCAAAAACTACCGAACGAATTTCCATGACGAAGCGCACTGACTTAACAAAAGCCTATTCACTCTTGCCTTGAAGACAGCCACACTGTAAGCGGATGGAAAGACAGATGCTAGCAACTTATTCCACTCCTTTGCTGTACGCATGATGAACGACGTGGCGAACCGTTTGGTTCGAATACATGGTAAGTCAACAACGAAAGGGTGGAGACTGGCCGAACGTCTGGTTGTCCGATGGTGGAAGGGAATTAAATTATGCAATTCCTTCGCACACTTTCCGAAATGCATCCTGTAGAAAACCGAAAGTCTGGCTACTTTACGTCTGTGTTCGAGGCTGGTAAGATTGGTTTTAACCAAATTCGGGTCACCAATAAGCCTCTTAGCACGCCTTTCCATTGAGTCCAAAGCTGCTAACTAGGTGGCATTTTGCAGCACCAGCCCATATATGGCAGCAATACTCCATGCACGACCGGACTTGCGCTTTATATAAAGTAAGCAGCTGTCCCGGCGTGAAGTATCGTTGCACCTTTGCAAAGACTCCTAGCTTCCTTTTGGCCTTGGACTCAATGAACCGCCCAGTCATCTCAACCCCCAACGACTGAAGGCGGTCGGTGTACTCCAGTGATACATTTCGGAAAGAAGGAGCCAAGGTGAGTTTGCTTCTTTTTGCAGTGAAGAGACACGCTGGCGTTGAATTTCACAAGGTTGGCATCGCCCATTTGGAGATTGCCTGCAGTGTGAGATTCACACGCTCTACCATAGTTTCTCTTTCGGACTGGATTTGAGCCCGACTGGCCCGAGGACTTGGTTGGTATCTCTCAACTGTGCTATCGTCTGCATACCCATAGATACCGGGCATAAGTAGATCATTAATATGCAGCAAGAAGAGAGTTGCGGAGAGGACGGACCCCTGAGGAACACTGGCGTTAGTCGCAGCAACCATCGACGACGACCCAGAAAGATCGTTCACTCAGAAAGTCCTTTACCCAGTCAATCAGACCAGGGGATAAGCCGAACGCTGAAAGCTTACCCAAAAGGCTAGTGTGCTAAACTCTTTCAAAGGCCTTCGAGACATAAAGGGAAACAGCAAGTGCATCCCCACTGTTCTCAAGTGCCTCGCCCCATACGTGTGTGGCATTCGCTACAAGGTGCTTAGCTTACCGATTTCAGCGAAACCCGTATTGATGGTCACTAAAGAGGTCATTCTGTTTTAGGTATGTCGTTAAGTGGGCGTTCAATATACGCTCCATAATCTTGCACAGTATGGAGGTAATTGAGATTGGTCGATAATTGGTAGGGTTAGAACGGCTGTCTGTTTTTGGAACAAGCTACACGTTGGTCAGCTTCCTGGATTTCGGCACTATTCCAGTCCTAAATGAGAGGTGGAACAAGCGTGTCAACACAGGAGACAATTCAGGTGCACAAGCCATTAGAACTATAGCTGGTATACCATCTGGTCCACTAGCTTTATTCACGTCTAAACACCGGAAGGTTTTAAGAACCTCCTTATTTGTGATACGAACCTCGGACATAGAGGTCCTGCAGTGAGGTAATTAAGATGGGACGTTGTTGCCACTGTCCAGACGTGAATTGTAGGCAAAGAGAGACGTGAACAAGTCCGCTTTCTCTTTAGCTTTGTGCGCCAGTGTGCCATCCGGCTTTTACCAGCGGAGGCAGTGTAGGCCGATAGAAGTTTGTCTCGACCGCTTTGGCGAGAGACAAAAAAGCTCTAGTGCCGGATGGTCTGGCAGAGAGTTTTGCACCAATACGCTTAATGCGATCGAGACTAGCTTTCCGTAATGCTTTCTTTTGTAGTACTTGGCGGTCTGGTTGAAAGTTCTTTTCTTAGAGCTAAATATCCGGAGCTTTGCGAATTCGAGCGTCGACCCAGGATAGGTACGCTAAATACTTGCGCTTTTCAGCTTGGGCGCATTCAGCGTTAAACCATGGGCGAGCTTTGCTACCGTTCGAAGCGTCAGAGAAAGGGATAAAATAAATGGAATGAAATAGATGAATCATGTAAAATGCGTTGTCTTCAATAGACCATTACGGACAAGCTTTTTAAAAGCGTATTTATTGGGTGCTTTTCTGATGTTATCGGGCAAGGAGTTCCAAAGGCGACTGTGAAGGAGTTACCATAGAACTCGGTGAAGTGAACAGGAATACAGATTATCTTGTTGAAAGAAGAACGTAGGGTATCATGAGATAAGGAGAGATAGTGAAACTTACTCTTAAAATAAGAAGCCGAAGATGGGCCATTTAATATGGAAAAAAGAACAAGCAATATTCTGAAATTGCGCCTCTGCTGGATTATAAGGCAATTTAGCTTAGATCTATATTGCTAAATATGGTCATACTTACGAAGCCCGAAAATAAATCTTATACAGAAGGCGTTCCAGCTTGTTCAGAAGATTTTGTGACAGATCTGGGTAACACACATCTGCATTATCAATTATGGGTAATATGAGACGATGATTGTGGATATCTCCAATTTCAGTTTGCACATAAAACTGAAAATCTTCGGCGTACAAATGGTACGAGCAGTCGAGGATGGAGGTTTGTTAACTCCATCCTCGACTCCTCGTACCAAGTAGTTTATAAAAAATTAAAAAAATTATAGGAGAAAGAATACCGCCTTGCGACCCACCAGCATCCACATTAGCCCAAGCTGAAGTAATTTGCCCCACACAGACGGACTGCTGTCGACCGCGAAGATAAGATGCAAACCATTCCAAGGCAGTAGGGCCAAAATTCAGATGAAACAGTATGGAAAGGAGGATTTTATGATCAACTGTGTTGAAAGCATTTGAAAAATCAATTAGTACGAGTACTGTTATCTTTTTTCTTCCATACCTCCGTCATGGTATAGTGTACATCTATTCTAGTCTCTAGAATCTAGATTGGCCGCGAAATACCTGATTCCAGACTGGTACTAAAAATTTCTTGACTGATAACCCAATAATTTTGGCTCGTCACAGGTTCGAACCCGAGAACACATGATTAGCAGCCGCAATTACGATCACTAGATCAATGAAGCAGTCAACTAAACTTAATAGGTACTAAGTACGTAAAAGAATGACCGGTTTCGAGTTCAACCCTCACCTCTTTTTTTATTTTCCGCCTTCTATCTTCGACAAGGCCGTCCTGACATGTCACCCGTCCATAAGCTAATATTTATAATGCAGCACAACTGGTTACAGTCCTGTAAAATAAATGTTTGTGAATCATTAGTAAAAACTAAAAATCTTTTGTTTCGGCATTTCCTGGCACCACTAGCTACCCATCGTCCTCTAAACGCCTCACAATTAAGTGAATTGCAGCTATGACTACAAACTAATTAGTTACAATAATAATAATAAAAAGTGACTAATTAATGTTTGGAAATAATCCCGAACATTCATAGGTACTATATTCGGCTGAGACGTATTTTAGTATTGAAATTTTTTTCGCCTTCGGAGTTGATGTATATGAAGTATAATATACAAAAGGATTTTTTAAATTTTCAGCTGACTTCTTAAAAGGTTTTCTTAGAAAAATATAATTCTACTCTATATTTTTTGTATGTAATATACGCGATATCTTTGCCAATAGACAATATTCTGTAGAAAAAAATTGTAAATCGATTTCAATAATTGTTTTTTTTTTATTAAACAGGTTATATATCAAGAGGACTCTAAAAACTCTTTAGACGACATTTTAGTTGTTACTTTGAGCATGTAATATTCCTTAGTCCACTCAAAAGGGTAAAACTAATTTTACGGATGTTATCATATTTAATTTAACTTATTTTACTTATTTTTAATACCCGACGTTTTGGGTGCTCTACAGCACTAGAAAAGTAATGTCTAGTATCCGTGAAAATATACGAAATCATAAAGAAAAACCGATATAATTTTTATAGAACTAAAAAGGATAAAGTCATTTCCACTTAATAGCTTTTGATGTCAGGGTTATAATTCTTCGATAAACTATGGCTTCACATTAACTTCTGAAGCTATTATGTGGAATATATGTTTTGTTATAAGTACCGTATATACTTTCATATGCATTTAGTGAAAAGTTGTTATTTTGACATTACAAACATACACTCCAATTTTATTTATTTACTAGCTGTTCTCCGCGACTTTGCCCGCGTGTTATTTGGGGTTTTAATTTTTTTTGCGTGGAACCATAATTCTTTTTTTGAAATAATAGTAGCCAAGTTACTGCCAGGGAAAATCCCGTCAAAATCGGACCAGCCGCTTCGGAGATTAGTCGGAACAAACAGACAGACGGACAGACAGACAGACAGATAGACAAAAACTTTAAAAATTGTATTTTTGTTATTAGTACCGTATATACTTTGATATGCAT